TTTGGTATTCTAACAATATGATCTTGGCACAAAACATTGATATAGTGGGCTCAAAATAATCCAATCATATTAAATTCCTTGCAACTACACTATACATTGAAACTAATTTTATCATATTGAACTATCGAAATCTTAGAATTTTCAATTATTGTTCAAGTTTCTAACCATGTATTCTGAAGAAATTTAATCACTTTTTTCCACAGTCAGCCCACAAGCCCCGTGTAGAAATTCTTATTCAAAGAAGGAATATAGCGTCCTTGTGTAGAAAGTTGTGATTTGCTTCAGAATCAAGTTGCTTCTGACAATGAGAACAATTTAGACTAGTCACGTTTAAAATCCTCTTCTTGTTCCTTTCTTCTCCATGTATCCATGATCTTTTCCAATCCCAGAAAATAATCGGTGATGGAGCTTGTAGGCTTAGAAATTCCATTACACACATTATTTGTAGACTCACTGTGTTGTGTTGATAGAATTTTAATATATAAAGTATCTTTATTAAATGTTGTAGACCACTTGATTTTAATTCTATATAACTTATTTATCCAATAATTATCTTGGAGGTTTTCTTTTTCAATCATCTCAGACCATGCTTGCTCAAAATCTCCTTTTGTATCACATTTACTCATGAATGTGCAAAATAGTCTTTTTACTGTCTTGTTGCCATTTAAGCAATGCACTTTCAAAGAAGTATTTTTATAGACATGTCATTGGCATAGTTTATGTTGAGTGTGGGGCAACACAACTTCTATAGTCTTTTCCATTGCTTGTTCTTCATCAACGAATATTGTTACAAAATACTCATCATCCATTAAGTGAATAAAAATTTTGAATAGCCAAGTGAAGAACTCAATTGTCTTTTCTAATAAAAATGCTACTTCAAACAAATTATTTTGCCAATAACGATTATGTCCCACAAAAGGAGCACAAACTAAATTATACTTGTTAAATCGATAGCTTGTATAAAAAATTATGACATCGCCGAAACAGTCGTAGTCAACCCTTGTTATGCCATTAGTCCAAAAAAAGTTAGTTAGCCTACCTGACTTATCAAATTGGACATCTCATGCAAACATATTATCTTCAATCTGTCTTTCCTTGAATATTATCTAATTGCATTCAAGCATTAGTATCTCCGCACTCAATTCTTGATCTTTTATTTTTTTTGTAAATAATTATATGCTTCTCTTTCCATAAAAGAAACATTCTCTATTCCCCCCACATCCTCAGTAAGATACTCAAATGCATCAATTTCTCTAATTCGTGCTTATGTCATCAATTGCAACACATATATTTGATCTTTGTTGATTCCCCTGTGTGATCTTAACAGATGTTGATCAATTAGCATGAATAATGAATGATTGTGGTTATTCGTAAATTTATTCACAGTCCAACTACCCTCAAGATCAATATGAAATCTAATCATTGCCTCACAGCCAGTCCTAGTGTCCGATTTATGAAACTTCACCCTAATGTTTAGATTGGGTCATTTCTTAAAATCAGCCTTTAAACATACAAAATCCTTTGATTTTATATTCCTTGTACTTGGACAGTAAAACAAATGATCCTTCCTTACATTGAATCTACAAGAGTGGGCATAAGTGCAGTACATATCCTATGCTTCTTTTCGTTGTCAACAATCGTACCAAATAATTTCTCTACAATTGGTTCATAATTGTTTTGATTGATGTCATCACTTGTCAATTCTGACCTAGTGTCCTTCAACTTCAATAAAAAATAAATCAGTACAGTCAATATAACATTGTTTAGCTCCATTCGGTACAACCATGTTGTATCAATCAGTACAACCAATATAATATGGTTGTACAATGGATAAATCAACCAATCATAGCAACGAGGAAAATAAAAAAAATAAAAATTCATCCTTTCTATATACAATTTTTTTTTTAAATTTTTATTTAGAATTTTTACAACCAATATAACATTACTTATTTCCCTTCAGTACATCCCTGTTGTATTGTTTATACTGAGATAAATAAGTACAACAATTACAACATGATTGTATAAGGGAAAAATCATCCAATCCCGACCACGAGGAAAAAAAAAATTAAAAACTCATTATATGTATAAAATATTACAATCTTCCCTTCAGTACAACCATGTTTTATCGATTGTACTGTGATAAATAAGTACAACAAGTAAAACATGGTTGTACAAGGGTAAATCAACCAATTGTATGCACAAGGTAAAACAAAATTAAAAATTCATCCTTTATATATAAACTTTTTCTTCATTTTTTTTGCAACCAAAACAACATTGCTTATGTTCATTCAGTACAACCGTGTTTTATCAGTTATACTGAGATAGATCAAAATCAACCAATCCTAACAATGAGGAAAAACAAAATTAAAAAAGTATCCTTTCTATATACATTTTTTTATTTTTATTCAGAATTTTCACAACTGACATATCATTGCTTATTTTACTTCAGTGCAATCATGTTGTATCAGTTGTATTGAGAAAAATCAATACAACCGATACAATATGATTATACAAGGGATAAATCTGTTCAACTAATACATTATGGTTGTGCAAGGGATAAATTAGCTAATCATAGCAACAAGGAAAAATAAAATTAAAAATTCATCTTTTCTTTATACAATTTTTTTATTTTTATTCAGAATTTTGATGACCGATACAACATTGCTTATTTCTTTTTAGTACAATCATGCTGTATTGATTGTATAAGATAAATTAGTACAACCAATACAACATGGTTGCATAAGGGATAAATCAACAAATTCTAGTTAAGTGGAAAAAACAAAAATTAAAAACTCATTCTTTATATATACAACTTTTTCTTTGTTTTTATTTACATTTTTAATCAGACTGAACTTTGCAGACTTCTATTCAGTACAACTGTGTTGTATTAAGTGTACTGGGATAAATAAGTTCAACAAATAAAACATAGTTGCAAAAGGGATAAATTAGCCAATTGTATGCACGAGGAAAATAATTAAAAATTCATTCTTTCGATATACTTTTTTTTAATTTTTCTTTAGATTTTTTACTACCGATACAACATTGTTTATTTCTCTTCAATATAACCAACACAACATGGTTGTACAAAGAATAAATCAGCCAATCCTAGCCACGAGAAAAGAACAAAAGTTAAAAACTCATTCTTTCTATGTATAATTTTTATATTTTTATATAGATTTTTAACTAGACTCAACTTTGCTGCATTTCCTTCAGTGCAACCGCATTGTATTGGTTATGCTGAGATAAATCAATATAACAATTACAACAGGGTTGTATAAGAGATAAATCAGCTAACCCAACAACAATGAGAGACAAAAATTAAAAATTCATCTTTTCTATAAAAAACATTGTTTAGTTCCCTTTAATACAACCGTGTTATATCAGTTATAGTGACATAAATCAATAGAATATACAACTTGGTTGTACAAAGGATAAATCAGCCAATCCTAGCTATAAGGAATAACAAATATTAAAAATTCATCCTTCCTATATACAACTTCTTTTAATTCAGATTTTTAAGCAAACTAAACTTTGCAGACCTCACTTAAGTATAACTGTGTTGTATTGGTTATACTTGAATAAATCAGGACAACCAACAAAACATAGTTGTACAAAGGATAAAATCCTATATAAGAGGAAAAAAATATTAAAAATTCATCCTTTCTATATACAATTTTTTTTTATTCAGATTTTTAACCAGACTAAACTTTGTAGCCTTCCCTTCAGTAGATCCGTGTTGTATCGGTTGTATTAGAATAAATCATAACAACCAATAAAAGATAGTTGTAAGAAGGATAAATTAACCAATCGTATGTACTGAAAAAAAAAACAAAAATAAAAAATTCATCATTTATATATTTAAATTTTTTACTTTTTTTTTAGATTTTTAACAATTGATACAACATTGCTTATTTCTCTTCAGTACAACTGTATTTGTATCAGTTGTACCTTGTACCGAGATAATTCAGTACAACTAATATAACATGATTATGTAGTGGATAAATCAATCAATCCTAGCCAAGAGAAAATATAAAAATTAAACACTCATTCTTTTTCTATACAATTTTTTTTTTTGTTTTTATTTAGATTTTTAACTAGACTCAATTTTGCTGCATGCCCTTTAGTACAACATTTTTGTAGTAGTTATACTGAGATAAATTAGCCAATCATATGCTAGAGGAAAAACAAAAATACAACATGATTTTGTAGAGAAAAATTTTTCAGATCATTTTGTATTTAGATTTTTTATTTCAAGCACCAATTGCATTTAAAAAGAAAAAAAGGCAATATTTTAAAAAATATTTAATAATATATGTACTAAATCCCTACAAAATAATATTCTTTGCTTTATAGTTACATTATCCTATGTGTTCTAAATACATAACTACAACTGTTGCAACAATGTTGGATTTGAAGAAATGTTCAATAGCTTATGTAGCAATACACTAGAAAATAAAAGTCAAAGCAAAGAAGATCTATAGCAAATTTGAGCTAATTTAACTTATTTTGAGGGTAAAGATATGATTTTTATCTGTGCATTTCGTCAGCACACAATCGATATGATCTCATTGGAATATTAAATATTACATGTATCGAACCACTCAAAAAATAGAGCTTACAAATTTACAATATAAATAAATTTTATTTCAAACTTAACAATGAGGTCAAATTTGTAATATTATCACCAGAACCATAAACAAATATGACCTCATGGTTGTTCAAGCTACCACTCAGACTTGTTTTTCATCTTAAGGTTTCTTCCTGAGTTTTGTCAATAATAACAGTTTCTTCTTGATGTTCCACAACAAATTTTTTTTTTCAAACATAACCCCCTAAAGGTTATACAACTTTTATGAAATTGCTATTAACAAACCTATTAAATTATCTAATCATTGGTGGCGTGCATTCTTGGCAGCCTCTTCTTTCTTTCGCCTAATCGGATGGACAAAAATGAGAGTCTAAAGAGCGGAAAAATATATAATTTTTTGGAGTGTGTAGGAGTCCAGGTAGTTCGCTCTTCTGAAGCTCCCTGCCGCGGCGCTGGCTGTTGCAGGAGAAGTGAGCTAATTGTGGAGTAAGGGTTCATTTTGGGTGGAGAAAGTTAGTCACCATAGTAACAAGATGGCTGCTGCGCCGCCTAACTACCGAAGTTCTTCTGCGGCAGTGAACGCCATCGGCATCTCTCCTACTTTTCTTCCTAAGAGGATAAACTTCACCTCTTTTTCTCGCCTGCATGCCTCTAGTTTCTCTCCGCGTCACATCTGCAATGATGGCGGCCGCGGAGCTGCTAACAGGGGAATGAAGCCATATTCTAACCAACGGCAGTCAATATCGGCATCATCATCGCCATCGTCATCTCTCCTGCAGAACAACAGCAGCAGCAGCAGAACAAAGAACACTGGAGATGAGCTTCGCCGCCAGCAACGGCATAAAAAGAAAAGCGGAGAAATGGCGGCGGAGTGCATCCCATCGGCGGAAGAGGCATCCATCAGCGTCCGGACGCTATACCAGAACGGAGACCCTCTAGGTCGACGGGAGCTCGGGAGGTGTGTCGTCCGGTGGATCTCCCAGGGAATGCGATCAATGGCTGCAGATTTGGCATCGGCGGAGATTTTGGGCGAGTTCTCTGAGCTGAGGCAGCGGCTGAGCCTTGGAGTGGGGGTGACGGAAACATCAAAACTCCTGAATGGAAATGACGCTGGAACAGGAAGTCTGGCATTTGTAATCCAAGCTCAGCCTTACCTTAATGCAATACCGATGCCAAAAGGCCAGGAAGCCCTCTGCTTCAAGGTCAGTACCCATTACCCCACTCTCTTCGATCACTTCCAGCGCGAGCTCCGTGATATCCTTCAGGATTTCCAGAGCAAGTCAGTCTTCCCTGACTGGCACGCCACCGAATCCTGGAAGCTCCTCAAAGAATTTGCAAGCTCGGGTACCTATCTTTTCTCGTTCCACTAATTTAAATTGAGCATAGAGCACGCGGCGATTAATGATCAATCCATCTTCTGAATTGTCATTTATTTCTTAGTCCCTAGCTATGCGCCTTTTATCGACTCGTGATTATCTACACATCTGTAAACTTTATGTAAACTATAAAACTGGTCTGAATTCTGTATTGTGGCTGTTGGCTTACAGTTCATCGATAAAGCAAAATAATAGAAAAAGTATGCTTTCACTTTGATCGAATGTAGAGATTCTTTTCGTGAATAGAATGGCAGGCTGGTATGTTTGGACTAAAAAAATTGCATTTGCTCGTTTTATCTGCATAATTGTAACCAACCATGCTTCCTGCTTTTTTGGTGTGGTGTTATCAATCATCTTGTAGACATGCTTTGCATTGTGACAGTAAAACTGTTAGGGCTATGAACTCTAGACCTGTAACCGGTAAAATGTTGCTGATACGGAATATATGCTAATCAAGGCAACAAATGGCTTGGTAATTACATCAAAAGCCGAATATGTGAGGTCACTTTTCAATGTTAAGAACTAGTCCTTTCAACCAAAACGAGCGAGGGAGACCTAGAGAAAGAGATTGAGAGAGAAAAAGAGGAAAAAACCACTTAAATTGATAAATCTGCCTCCATGTTAAAGGTTGTCCTCCCCCAAAATACATAAAGAGCAAAGAATATAAATTATGGTCTGTATAATACAAAATTTTTTTATGGCGTTTTGCTGAAAGGATCATGACACAAATATCAAGTGGCTCATAAATGATGATAGAGCATATGTCAATCATTTTAAAGTTGAACCTTACTTCGGCTATTTGTCAATCTCGAGGATCACTAGCCGGGGCGAACTTCTCAGACGGATCTAACGAGCGTATCAGCTCCTTGGAAAGTGGTAGTCGGAACTTCAATCTGTCAGGTTGATTTAAGTCTGGCAGGTCAATCCAGCAGGTGTCCTCGATGGGCTTGACGAGGTGTATAATAGGTCCTGATGACAGGCTTTGAGTCGCGCGATTCTTCAGGTGTCCATTAGCTTGGAATTGGTCCAATGCTTATTCCATTTGAGGCCGTGGTGGGCAATTATCTGTGTACAAATAGCATTCACGTATACTTTTCCTTTAGCTGGAATTCCTTTAAAAACGATCCCCATATACTATTCACCATTTCTCCCTGAACTATAATGCTCAATTTTGATTTTTAAAACACGGTGCATGGAATTAGAGGGGTTTAGAGAAAGTAAGAACATTTTTGACAGAATTTATGACCAGCTTGCTTCCAAAATTTTGTGGTGCATGGTATAACTCTTTAATGGACATTTCATTTCTCATCTTTGTACCTTTATAGCTGTCATTTGTCTTTCTTGTCTATGAAACACTGCAGCAGAATAAATATTGCTTGCATTACAAAATGTATTTGTAGCCCAGCATCGAGCTGCTGTACAAAAAATACCAGAGAACCAAAATATGACTAGTGGTCTTGGAATGCAGCTACAGAAAGCAACAATAGTGCAGGCAAAGATAGAGGACTTCGTTAATCATATGTCAGAACTTCTTCGTATCGAACGGGATGCAGAGCTAGAATTTACTCAGGAAGAGTTAGATGCTGTCCCTCATCCTCATGAGAACTCTGAGTTATTGAAACCAATTGAGTACCTTGTTAGCCATGGACAGTCACAGCAAGAGCAATGTGACACAATTTGTAATCTGAATGCTATCAGCTCTTCTACAGGTAAGCTGGATGTCTTTTTTATGTATTTTTATCTCTTTCATGGTTTCTTATCGTTGTTCTAATCATTTCTAGTTACCATATCTTTCTTAATATTGCGTGCATATATATATATATATATATATTGAAAAAAGCCCTAGGGCAATTATATTAAAGAGAAAAAGATAATATGGCACCTTTCAATTTTATTATTTTTCTATAATAACACTTTCCCTTAAGTAGGAGTGTATATACCAAAAGTTACGACTTGATAGTAATGTTGGAATATGAAGAGGTGGTGATTTTCTTAGCCATTTTTTCTTTACTTGGTATATGAGGAGAGATGATCTTCTTAGCATGATTACATTCTTGATGAATTAATAGCCAACTTCAATATATCCTTTCGTAGAATATAAGATTGCTTGCAATGTAGATTGTTGCCTAATTATCACAGCTATGGATCATAGATTGTGTAGCAGGAAAGCCAAATTCTTCTACAAAAGTCCTGATTTACATCATTTCATAAGCAGAATGAGCCATGGTATGGTATTTAGCATCAACATCCAATCTAGCTACAACTATTTGTATCTTACTTCTATAAATTACAAGTTTTCTGCCTGCAAAAATATAATATCCTGAAGCTGGTTCTTAATTTTTAATAAATCTAGCATTATTGCCATTGGAAAATACTTCAATCCTCAAATCTTTATATTTATGAAAGACCAAAATTTTCTTTTTTGGAAATTTTCTGATGTATCTCAAAATTTTTAGGGTAACTTTCTAGTGTTGTTTCTCTGAATTTTATATATATTGACTGATTGCTTTGACAACAAAGGATACACCATGACAAGTGATGGTTAGATAATTTTGTCAACAGAACATCAATGTCGTGTACAACTTTCATCATCCTCGGATGAACAAAGAGTTTCATAGGAGAATCAATAGGGCTCTTACCCACGAGTCAAATTCCATCAAGGCCTATGGCTGAGAAAATTTTTTGAGATGCCAATCTTTGATGATAAATATCTTCTATAAATATTATTTTATTTTCAATGATAATTAGTGTATAATGTCATTGACAACATAGAAAATTAAAAAGAAGATTTTATAAATTTAAAAGAATTATCTATTTAAAGAGTGTTGATTTAAATAGAAAGTTAAATTTTAATTGCTTGATATATTGATTTGAATATTGATAAAGCCTCTAATTGACATATTAATTAGTAAACCAATGTGACTTCGATATTGCCTTCAATGAACGAAATGAATATTAGAAGTAAAGATGGGAACTAACTAGACTTAGTTTCCATATGTTGAGCGAACCAACTCAAAATTTGAGGGCAAGGGAAAGGGGCTATGATGATGTTTGCCAAACTCACATGCATCACATTCATATTTGAAAACAAAAAATGGAGAGTGAAGCTCTAAAGAAGGTGAGGAGCGTCACCTAGACGTTAGTACCATTGATAAGGGGGAAATTGCTACAAAACAGTGCAATACAGAATATAGAAGTAATAAATAACCCCATCTTCAGTAACTCCATCAATCATCTTCCTTGTGTTGAGATCATAAAAAATAGTAAGTAGGATAAAATATTATTGAGAATTTTGAGTCTTTGTTTGACAATATATAGACAAAAGATTGATAGGAAATTTGGAATATAGAGAAAACTATCAAAATTTAAGAGGAAGCACAAACAAATTCTTTTCCTTAGACCAGAGGAGTTTCATTGACAATAATAGCAGATGGGAGAGGAGTTAATGTAAGGAATGAGAATAATTGTCGGTTACATATCATATGATGTAAAGCTTTAATCGAAAACTAGCGACATACTAGTTGAGTAAGTTACAATAAATCAAGATGAACAGGCTGCATGAGACCTTGATTTATATGGTTTGTTGGAATAGTCAGTTAGAGTAATCTTAAGAGAGTAAGAATATGAAATTGGTAGCATCAGAAGAGCGAGACATCATGACATTAGTGGAGAGGAGAGAGGAAACTTCAAATCATAAAAGTTGTGGGAATAATGAGGTTCTTAGAAGGTTGGTATTATGAAAACGAATGAAGTATTGCTAGAAATATAGGAGGGAAAGAAAACAAGCAGGCAAGAGTGCATTGTATGTTCATGTGAATGATTGGCTCGAGGTTAGTTATCGAATTTGGGAGCAATAAATCAGATTAGAAGGTGATGTGTCTTTTCTAGGAGTAATTGGAGCATGTGGACGGTGGGTTGCAAGCTCTAAAGTGCATATGGGTGAGGTTTGAGCTATGTAACTCAATTGCAGATGTTTAGCAGGATATTGATGAGATCGCTTAATGGAGTGCATTTGGTTGGGATAAATGGCGATGTTGTGGTGAAGAAAGAAACACATGGTGAAGGAAAAAGCATTTGTGGCGTGGCATGGCATGGCATGGCATTGTGAGTAGCAATGTAAAGCGCTACGGATAGGGTAAGGGTGGCATGGCATGGCATTGCATTGTGAGTAGCAATGTAAAGCGCTACGGATAGGGTAAGGGTTGCATGAGGATGATGTGGCTAGAGTGTGGTTTATGAATGATGACGATGAAGACAAGGGCTTGTTGACAGGGAGCGAAGAGGGCAACAAAGGTTGTTATGGCATCAAAGTGGGATGGTAGTGAGGGAGAATGGTGAAACATCACTCTAATACCATGTTAATATAAAGAAAATATATATGTATTGTTGATTAAAAGTTAGTACTAATATATTGACTTGCAATGCGAGTATAAAAGAAGAAAATAGTAGGGTGAATATGCTCAATTAAAAGAATAAATATTGATTTCTGAATTTTTCTAAAGATAACACATTCTAATCTTGCTATTTTTCTATGATAATAATAATCATTTGTGCAATATTTATATAAGACTTATGGTTTCCGTGCTAGTAATGGATAAAGAGAATGATTCAGTTATTCTAAGATGAAATCATTTGCATGATTGTGGGATTTACTAATATTCTTTCTCTCCACTCTTCATTCCATGCTAAGTTTTGATTAATTCAAAGGTTTTTTAGTGTTAGCATTTTTGTTGTTAGCACGAGGGGCTTGAGAATTATTAGATTAGGGGCACCATTTGCACATCAATAAATTGATTTAATTGATATTTTATTTGTCCAAATCGTTGATTCAATTAATGAATTAACTTCCAACAATTTAAGAACAACACTGCCATTGTCGGTTCCAAACCTTGATGTGAAAAGTGGAGGGTTGCGTTAGGTAGTCGACAATCAGTGTAAAACTTGTCGAAAAAAATCATGACAAGGACGTAATGGAGAAAAATGATTCATGTAGCCGACCCTACGTATTGGGATTAAGGCTTTGTTGTTGTTGTTGTTATTGATACAACTTCCAATGAAACAAAATGGAAGAAGGTTTAAGTTGACTTCCAATCAAGATTGTACTAAATTAGTTTGACATGTTGATATAAAATGATTAATGATCTAGGGTTTAAGAATACAAACCTAAGATGAAATCATAAATAAAAAATATACAAAAAGCCACAATTCACATTTTATTAATCTATTTTGATACAAAGTTAGAAAACGTTAAAATTTAAAAAGCCGAAATCGGGAAATAAGATGTTTTACCTTCGCGATGTGAGGTATAAGCCACGGGGCAGAATGAGGCGCAAGCCTCATTAAAGAAAAAAAAAACTCATAAAATTAAAGATAATCTATAAACATAACATAAATCATTGATATATTGATTTAATTTATTATTATAAAGACATAATTTACAAATCTTAATATTAAATTTTGATATAAAGTAGAAGTTTGAAATTTTATTTTAGGTAAATATTTGCTTAAAATTTAAATATTTAATGAAGTTCAAGATCCATTGTGGCATTGATGCAGAAGCTTTTTCATGCAAAATTTTCTTTCGGTACTGTAGCTGCCACAATATCACATGAAAACATAGCAGGAGATGGGGGACGAGCCGCTGAAACAGTTCTCTTTTCCTTTCTTATTCTTTCTTTCCTATTATCCTTCCTTCCTTTTTAGTCATTATATATATATATATACACTACCGGAGACAATATTATTTGTGTTCTTCTGACTGATGTATTGACAGATGGTTCACTTGGGCATTCTACAGTCTCTATCACTATTGAAAATAATACTGCAAGATCTTTACCTCTAAAGGATATTCTTCGGTCCAATAATCGGGATAGTATCGCAGCTCCACAACCTCAGGAAGCATCAGGTGCTGAGGAGACAGATTTACCATCTCTTCAGAATGAGAATGTTGTTACTGTTAATCAGGAGCTAGGGGCTCATTATCTTCTACATGCCCGACAATCTGTTGATCACACTGATCAAATGAGCCAGTCTTCGGATGATGAACGACATGTATACACATCTAGGAAGAAAAAGAAGAATGGAGGCACACCCCAGCTTGGGAACTTAATAGATGATACTTTAGTAACTTCGGGTAATGACACAACACTCAACAATTTGTTAGCTGGCTCCGTTTCTAGATACAGAGGCAGAGGCAGGACCAAACTGGCCGTCCCTAGCAATTGATTTTCTGTGAGTTATGAACTTTAGAGTTTTATCTATGTCTTATCTTTTTTAGGATGTTAGTGTTTGTGTATCGTATGGATATGGTGCCTTTATTGGGTCCTCTCATACAACCTTTATGTACCTTTTCAATTTCAATAAAATTAGCCCTCGGACATTTCAAAAAAAAAAAAATAATAAAATAATACAAAGAGAGGAAAATACTTTCATACTTTGATGATTTACAAGGTACATCTACTTATAGGAATACCACCTCCTAAATAAGAAAATTACATAATTGCTTATATCTTAAATAAGGAAATTACCTAATTGCTTACAACTATTTCCTATTATATTACATAGCTAATTATGCAAGATTTGTACAGGTACACACTAATCTATAAAAGGAAAAAATATTAATGCTGTAAATCAAATTGAATTTTCAACACTCCCCCTCAAGTTGGCATGAAAATATCCTTTAGAGCCAACTTGCACACTAAACTGTCGA